TACCAATCCAAGTCGGAGAGATTATTTACGCATGTATATAATGTGGTCGTTGAATGGTAGTAATTGAAGACGAAATTTTTACTTAAATAAACAAGAATAAGTAGGTATGAACTTCTGAAGACGGAAAAACTCAGGGGTGATAATTTCAGAGTTTCTTCACTTTGTAAATCTACTATTTTGCTCAATGATGACTTTCTTTTTTTTATACCACGTTACTAGTTTTTAAAATGGACCTTCGTTGCAGTCCATCTCCCCCACAAAGCCATGTTCAATTGTAATCCCCATATCAAATACTACGGTTTGGATCTACGGCTGCTCTCCTATCACCAAAAAGATAGTGGCGCCAGTTTGGCCAGGTGGTACTGGGCCATTTCGATCGGACGGATCCGGGTTCAGGAATCGGAGGGATTTAACCCTAACCAGCGAGACGAACGGGAATCGTCCGGAAAGAGCAGCTCGGGCGGCGGCGGAATGGGCGGAGGGCGGAGAAAGGGATAGCGGCGGCGGCGACGGATGGTGCCAGCGGACAGCTGTGGCGACGGGGCGGACAGTGGCAGTGGATGCTGACGGCAGTGGTGGAGGATGAAGGCAATAGAAGGCTGGCGGGCGATGGGCGACGGCGGGATGAAGGTGGACGAACAGCGGATAGTGGTGGCGGACGGTGGTTGAAAGATGGCGACTGGATGACGGGTGGCGGCGGATAAATGCGGCAGCGGACGGCGGTGGTGATGGATAACTGACCCTCAAGGCCTCTCCTTGGGGAGCGAATGACCCTCAGGGCCCTTCCTTGCGGAGCGATACGTGGTAAACCTTGAAACTTCATTTTCTTCTGTCTAATTGTCCTAGGGCTAGGGAGGTTATTTTATAACCTCTACATGAGGAAACTATGCGTTAATGGGCTTGGGCCGAACTGCTGAGGACGCGGAACGCTGGCATGCTTCCTCGTTCCCCATCAGGGCGGATATTTCTCCTGAACCTTTTGCATTAGGATCTTGGGTTTTTTCCGTTTTGCTGTTATTTGAATTTTCCACGGCCGAACCGACTCCTTTCCAGGTAAAATGTCCCAAACAATCTTCAGCTTTTCTAACTTTTACCCATCATCCAACAACACCTTTAAACAAGCCAAGTTCCTAGTCGTAGTCACAATTTCTACGTTGAGCCTCGAATGATGGAATATGTCGTTCTTCATCTATCAGAAACTCTACCTGTCAAAATTTTGAAAATTTCTGCAGATTGACATTTAAACGCATACTATACATTGCTATTAAGATTTGACATGAACATTTGACAAATAATGGTTTGACATTCAAACATTCATTGCGTCTTGAATACAAAGCTACTGAAAGCACCGAATACCGGAAAGACGACTAATTGAGATGGATCTTTGTCAAGGCATTGTCATTGCAATCAACACATTGGCCACTCACGTTGACACTGGAACCTGTGCGCGCTCTCAAGCCCAAAATCTTCCTCTTTCAGGGTAACTGACACAATCCTGTTTCTCACCATTATCCCCTATGGTGTGATCAGCCAGTCGTCCCCTCAATCTTTGCTTTCCATAACATCGTCGATGTCATTTTCGGTTGTGACTTGACCAAGCATACCAACCATACACGGTAGATTCAGTTTTCAACTTAAAATGGGGATATCCGTCAAATCCGAACAGGAGAAGGAAGCAATCGTCATTTGAGGTCAACCTGAGGCTTTTCCCAACTAAATAAGAATCACGATGCTCTGTAAGGTTATCTTTAGAAGCTACTGCCTTTGATATCTTTCTTTTTCAGATCACCCTACGAAAGCTATGTCTTAGTTTCGTCTCATATGCTGCAGATACATCTGCATCATGGGACGGACTAGAGATTACAATTCGTAGTTTTTCACAATCCTATTGCACATTCTCCCCGTGGGTTCTCTCTGATGTACTGTGGGGTTATATGGAAATGATTGTGACATCAATCGGAGAAATTTTGTAATCATAAATACTTCATCTCGGCGCGTCTGCGTAGTGAATTTGCAGAGTGAGAACAGTATGCGGAGGTTTATTTTAATCTCTTGACATCAAAATGGTACTCCTATCTTGTGGCCCTTGTGTTCTATTATGCAAAACAGTCAGGGCCTACTTTGACAACTAGTTAGGATGAACTAGGTTAACATAACTTCGGTTCTGCATCCTTCTTTATCCAACTTACACTGTGATAACACGCTTATTCCTGTCATGGACTGACCTATATTAACTTTTTTTTTACTTGAGCGACTGAACAAGAAATCGAACCATTTGTTCCATTTGGTCAAATAAGTTAATCGACATCACTAAAGATTATCCCTAAAGTCACTCGCTCGGCCATCCAAGCTGTCAATCTTGGATGGGTTGCTAATCTGCAATAAACTCGATTATCCCCTTAAAACTGATTATCGAAGCAGTACTTAATTACTAATTTTCTGCTACCTTCTATAAATCATCTAGTCTCTTCATCGTATGTTGAGAATTGCAATATTCATCAATCTCTCAGAAAAAATCGGTCTTCAATTTATACCTTCACCTTAATTATCTTGGGTGCCAATGCATGTTAGTCTGATCCCATAGGCCAGAAAGTTCGTTAAAAATAGTTTATAATAACTCATACTGTGATGTTTGGGATCCCCAGAACAGGAAATCTTTATCATTACAGATAATTTGGTACATATGGAAATAACTCTTGGCAGTCTAGAGAATGGCAATGTACTAGTATTTTGGTTTGAAGCTAATAAAAACCATATGTATATTCTTCCAGACCCGTAAATGAAATGGTTTTGGGCGCTTAATTTGAAGTAGCTCGCCTTCCCCTTTTCCGTGAATTCTTCCCCCTGTCCCTCGTTTTCTGTGTCTCCCTCGCTCATCATGTTGGATGCAACCAAAAAAATTGAACGAGTTGAGAAATATAGAACGGTTTCCAGTCAAATTGTGATCAGAGAGATATGGTGATCCTAACGTGTTCAATATGATCCGAGAGAGAACAAGAGAGGATTTTCTTTCTCCTTCGCGTTTCTCTTTCATCAGGTTTCTCTCCCTTCTTGCGACCCTTTTCTGTTTTTCATCTCCTAGCGAACAGTTTTTCCTTCATTCTTCTCCCTCTCTCTCTCTCTCGCCGTCTCACTATCGCTGTCCTTTCGCCATTGTAAACAGGCCAGGCAAAAATAAGATGCCCTCGATGGACCCGACGGAGAAGGGAGAGAGATAGAAGGCGGGTACAAGGGTATTTATTAACTAAGATTTTACAGGTAGGTAAGTACTCAAAGGTTTAAATGCCAAGAACGGGAGAGTTTTATGCTAGCCATTTGTCCAATTCAGAAAAGAATATGTTTACTAATAAATCAGTAAACGTGCAAACAGTTAAACACAAGAGAACTTAAAATAACAGTCTTACTTCTTTCAAAAAATAGAAGTACTAGTGCAAAGTAATCGAAGTTAAGTATCAAATTGATATCCCGGGAGGTCAAACAAAATGAAAATTTATCAGCATTAAAAGGGTTCCTTTTTGTGAAGGAATTTCATAAGTCTGGTACTTATTATGAATCTTACGGAGACGTAATTATTATGAACAGTGACACGTCAGCGAAAACCAGGCGGGAACGGGTAGCGTCGCCTTTCTCTATATGTAACTGAGGTACCTATTGGCCCGAGAACATACGTAATAAATCGGCGGAAGTTCCAACGCAAGTCTTGCCGCTCCAGTAAGAAGTGCGGCAGGAGTTGACAATTACTTCTGAATTGGGTCTGAATCCATCGCTGTTTATGAACAATAACATATCTGTCCGAAGCTGCGCAAGCCATGGACTTGGAGGTGGCCATGCCGTCGATTTCACAATTAAAGCCTCAGCGGTAATTAGTGCTACAGAACACAATTGTAGAACCAAATTGATTGGTTGTGACGTGATTGACGAATGCCTTGACTAATGACCACTCAACGGAAGGTGACGAGGCCTCTCATTTTTCCTTACAGAGTTTGGAAGAGTCGGCCTTTGGTTGAGACAAAGCGTCGCGTATACGGTGAGAGTTGTGGCGCCGCGGCCGACGATAGACTGACCATACTCTGAACGAGTATTGGTTCGGAGAGAGGTTTCGGGATGATTGGTTCTTTAACACGCCTGATTCGGAAAGTGCGTGGGAGTGCTAGAAACTGTTGTTATTTTAATATATGAGTTATAGGTGAGCTGTTTGTATCCGACGGCCTGGGCTTCAATGCTAGCACGTGGGCATCCATGAAACTTAATAAGAGAGTTTTTTATTATTTATGAATTAATTGATACTTCACACAAGAGAATCCTATCCCGCATTCTCAATGTGATGCCCTCTGAACCTACTAATAGTAGGGACACGTGATGTCGAGAAAACTTCAACTACACCGAGAAATCATTACGTGTAGTCGTTATCCTATTCCTAAATAACACGGCGCAATGTTGTAATACCCCTCTAGGTACTACGTCCCAAGATATGTTCATCCTCTAGGTACATTTGTAATACCACGTACATAATTTACATGCATCGACACAGAGGAGACTGTGAGAGAGAAAAAGAAAGATAAAGAGAGAGAGAGGAGTATGCGTAAGCTAATTGATAAATAATGAAAGCTTTTTTAATCTTAGAGCAAAGTCTCTAAAATCCATAACGGATATAATTATTGAATAAAAACTATAATCTATCCAAATTTCGGATGTAATCTGCAACTTATACATGAATGGCGAAACATGAGTCGTTTTTCACCGTCTAGCCACACGCTGACACAAACAGGGTGAAAACCCATAGAAACAGACCCTGCGATGCCATCTTACTTCTGTCAGGATAGCATGTCGTCACTGGTGAATGAGGAAAGGAACCAAAGAGGAGATCAGTTTACAACTCATAAAACGTAACTGACCTACCGGTAGCTAGTTATCCCCATATATATGAAATAGGTAACACTCTTATTTCGTTTGGCCAACTACGAAGTGGAAAATTACATGGATATAAAACGCTAGAGCTACTAGTAAGGCCGTTGGCCGATGTAGTTTCCAGGACCGTCATAGTTGCAGGTGATGAAGATGGCCCCGTTGTCGCACTGGACGCGAGCACAGCCCAGCCTCACCGAATTACGCCAGACCACCTGCGTGTAGTGCCCGCACTGTTGGCCGGCCAGGCAGCTGTTGGTATTGTAATCGTAGTACTGCCTCTCGCTGATCCACAACTCGGAGGCGTCGCGGCCCGTGAAATCGGCCCCGAACCCCCAGAAGAGGTTCTCACCATAGGGCCCACGAGAATGCACAAGGTTGCAGTCGCTCCTCCTCTGGTAGGCATAGCTCTGTGCGTAGGCAGCGACGGTGTCGTCCCACACCATCGGACCAACCCCAACCTGAGCGCGGGCTTCGTTATGGAGGTCGAGGTAGTCCTGTGGAGAATTCTGGGCCACAGAGACGCTAACCATTGCCAGCGCTAAGACACATGACCTTACTACTAGAAGATGGTACGCCCCCATTCCCTCTCCACACTAGACAAAAACTTCTTTCCTGGTCTCAAAACAGAATGCACCAGCTGAATAATGCAGGGAGTCTGCTCCGTGTACTTATAGCCGAAAGAATAACTTCGCGGTTAGCATGTAAAATGTCCTAGTTTGGACATAACTTTTCGCAATCAGAGATTTATGACTCTCTTTCCTCCTGTCCTCTCTGATTTCTCAAGCAATACGTGAAAACACAGATGGAGATCTTCCTTTATTGGTATTATATGCTGACAATGATTGATGGCGGAGCATTATTTTTGTTTAATAAGTTTACGGTGAAATGGACTGTTCATTTTCATTTAAGTCGGAAAAACAAGTCCAACCACTAACTCGTTTATAATATCGACAACCAGGGTACAGGAGCATGTAGAAAAAGTATATATAAATAAAGTTGCATGCTCGATGGGCACGCACACATCAATGACAAGGAAACAACACTAGAGTCTTTGCAGATCTCCATCATATATATACGTGCACGTGGGAAAAAAATAATCAGTAGCGTTCGGAGCATATCATAGAAACCCAAGGGTTTAGCAAAGCCACCTGCTGTAGGAAACTATCGGAAAAGTCCGGGATCTTCTCGAAACTTCGGAATTTTCCTATTGTCAGAGTTAACGTCCTCTAGTTTATCCGCCGCTTAGATAACTAGACACGCAACCCACTAGTGCAGAAACCCTTGACTCTCTGATAATAGATTTCAATTTATTAATGGCGCCTAAAATTCACCGAGTTCAATCAGATTTTTGGATGTTAAACATTTTGGGGATCTTGCTTGTGTTTTGTTAAACTATTCAATGAATAATAGTGTCACCAAGAATTGTCGATAGATTCAATAAATGAATCTAGGAATGAATTCTGTCCATCACAATAATAGATTATCTTTCCTAAAATAACCTTTCAAAACTAAACTGAAATAGTAAAATCGAAAATTCACTTTTAGATTAATGATATGAATACGCTCTGGTATTTAGAAACTATAGTTAATTAATTACACAATCTTACCTTCCCTCTGAATACGCCAGGCCAAGGGAGGATATTCTGTATGGAACCCAGAGACGTCATATAGAAAATTTCGATTAAGATCTATCATTAGTGAGTCTCAACTGGACATAAATGATTATATACAGTCTGATGGAACATACAGGAAAGCCATATATTTAAACAAACTATAGAATTATTGAGAGAATTATTTATATTTAATAACCGGTTTTGTAGTTTCTCTTAGTTCGGTCAGTATTAGAGTGAGTAGCCTTGTATTTAGTAGAGCATATCAAATATAAATTAAATCATTCCAAGGCTCACGTTCTACCACTTTTCAACAAGCAAATTTGTTCCATAGTCTACATTTTTTTCTTCAACCGTCCCATTTTATCAATTCCTCTCACCAATATCTGCTCATAGCATTAACATTAGCTTCTCCCTCTCAATAGGCACACTATAAGTGTATATTAGAAATCCATAAATAATTCTAATAATCAAATATATCAATGGGGAAACTTTATGAGTCCTATGTATGCCAACAGCCTTTTTTTATTTAATATGTTTGTCTGTCTTTTGGTATAAGATTGAATCATGTGGACAAACAATGGCAAACATGACAGAAAGCTACAAATTTTCTTATTGTCCGGAAAAATTAATTAATTTATTCAAAAAATAATTTTGAAAACTATCATCATGATTGATCATAAGTGACAATCTCTTATTTTATTCACATCATTAGGTCCATCAATTGATCACATCATACTTAGTCTGAACTATAGTTGTTAGAACTTGTTGACCTACCACATGCCTAATAGGAGCTTTTTATTCTGTTGCCATGTCAAATATTGGTGTTGCTTTTGAAGGAAAAATAAAATTGGTAATAGAAATATTTGTTATGTGTAATGGGAAAATGTGGTGCAGTCATATATTAAAGCTACAAACTGAGTGTGTGTCATGATATTACTTAGTGCTATTATAGCAGATGATAATTTTAGTTCAGTGGAGACCCTACCTCCTTGTTGACCATTGGTTATCATGCTAGAAGCAGAAATTTGTCCAAGGATACTCTCTTATTAGGTATTCCTTAGTAAACAACTACCAATGTTCTTTGAATTGGACAACAATACTTTTGATTTTGAATTTGAATTTACTTTCAGGTGTCACTATCACATTTAAGGGTGTTTTCGAGTAGTTGGAGTAAGTTAAATAATCACCTATGAAATGATAAAGATATCATTTTTTAGTCTAAGATACCATTTTATAATCATATCGATGAACTAAAAATATTTAGAAACTATATTTTGAAAAGAAAAGGTACCTTTGAAATTATATAATGAAAACTTTAACATTTATATGATGAAAGCTTCACCACTTACTATGTACTCATTGGCATTTGAAGCAAAGTCGATGCCAAAATAGTTGTGTTGACAATTGGAGGATAGGTGTTCATAGATTCAAGAGTATAAAAGACGACATACACTAGTAAGACAAGATAACTAAGGACACCTTTGCAAAAAGAAAACTATATATATGGTAGAAACTTGGATTCTAACTATTGATTGGAAGGAATGATTGTCAAAAATAGGGTTTTAAGTGTCAAGATGTTGTCCAAAAGTGTCAAGACTAATAAAAAGAAACAAAGAAAAAGAAAAAGAACACGAATAGTTACTTAGGCCAAGCAATGCTACCTGCTTATTCTAGAAAAGGACAATAATGCAAATCTTGATAGGTGGACCTATCAGCTATCAATATCTGCATTAAAAGTTAGCGTGAACTGTGATCCCCTAATTTTCTGTTGATAGGGGCAAAATGACAAAGACAATTTTGACTGAAGCAAAAAGTGATCATGGTGGAAGACTTATTTTTTGTTGTGATGGGACAAACCTTTCTTAGCTATTAGTTTAAGAATCCATTGTATAAATGAAAGAAAACTAAGAAAGGTTCTCAAGCTTCGATGAACAAGAAAATTTCAAACCTTAAAAGCGTTTGTGTCAACCTCAAGAGCTCTTATCTAATTTAAGAAAACTAGAAGTCATGCCAGCACTGCACACCAACAGTGACATGCTTATCTGTTGTAGAGGATATTATAAAATCTGATATTTTCTCTTCAGCAGGAAAGGCTAATTAAAGATAATACATTTATATACAGTTGGACGAAAACTCAATAAACACTTTATAACTAAATGGATACTTATTATCTGTACATAGGCCAGTCATGTTTTGATATACGTGATATGGAATCCCAACAGTTGTTTTACAACGTTTAAAAATGATAAATGTAAATATTCAATAAAATCAGATCTGTTAATCTCGAGACAAAAGTTTTAAATATAACATGAGACGTACACGATTGGACAAGGATTACATTCCATTATCATTATTGGTTGGCAATAAAGATACTAACAGGATTGTGTATACCATGAATATGCCACCAATTATTTACTCACAGGATAGGAGGATCACCAATTTCCTGCAACAAAGTCATGCCACACCACCTGGGTGGAATACCTTCGGATGTTAGAATGTGAAAATGTTGTTCACATTGTCAATAGAGGAATTTGCTGCATCACTTGTGATGTAGTCATTGAAATGGCCTCTATAGTATTGGGTATCATTTCCTTTTTGACGTCAGATCTGCTGGCTAGGTAAGGTCATTAAGAGGGAGCATGTTAACTTGGAGAAGGTCCATGCAGACCTAAATCATTCAAGCGTGAAGTTTGTCAAACTAGAAGATAGTGGGCTGGGAGGATTTCGGCTATTTGGCTGGTCCAGCCAGTTTGTGATCCAATCCACTATTATTTCCTGACAGTAACCATCTCCCATAAATGATATTCATGGACGTCGAATGACACAAATGACGACAGCAGGCCATTAGAGGACAAAATCAAAATTCACGGAAAGGAACAGGCATAAGGAACTCGAGAAGGTTCCCGAGCTTGTGAGTGCCGCGAATACGCGATGCAGGTTCTCATGGCATTAGCCTTAGTTTGAGTTTTTGGTCTAATTGTTAAAGTATTCATGGAAGGCAATTAATATCTCTCCTACATAAAAATTATAAAATAGTTTGCCTGCGCAGAATGAATTCAGGAGTACAGTATCGTGGACGAAACAATGCTTAGGTTTTCTACAGGTGTTTTCCACTATTTACTGAATGGTGTATTTATGACCAGTTACCCACATCACAAGAAGAGAAACTCTAAAAGACGACAGACTCACCATTGGAAATGAAGCAAGAGTATGTTCGTTTTCGAGGACTAGAATATGACTACATCTGAGAGAGAGAGAGAGAGAGAGAGAGAGAGAGAGAGAGAGATCTTTTAGCCTCACAGTTGTACGATGAGTTTTGATAGGCCATTGACACGCCCGTTCTCCCCCTTATCCCCCTGAGAGGAGGTGAAATAAGATTTTCCCCCAAGAGAAATTTCCTGGCATACCATACACACATGGCTTCGGTAAGGCTTACTCTGCCTTACGAAACTGGCGCAAACCATCTGTTGGTATGAATATGGGGACTTGTCAGCGATATGGATTTATTAATATACATCCCCCAGGTTTCTTTCGTCGACCAAGATATGCAATTAACTATCCCCCTTCTGAAACCCAATATTTCCCAGTCTAGTCCCATGGTTGAAGAACCATTCTTATATGCCTGATAGTTCCCATCATTCATAAAACGTTCTTTTACAGTAAGAGGTCTTTTTAATCGCTCACACCTGCAGAATACTTCCACAACGCGTTCAAATTTCTGATAAATCTGTTGTACTCCTTCCCATGACTACTACCATAACGTCTGATTTCATTTGGAAAAGACTGAACAACCCCTGTTATCATACAAACACACTCTCTCTCTCTCGCTTATCCTCTATTGTCGGCAGGCAGCAACATCGGCGACACGGTGGCTCTTTTCCCCGCAGCAGTCCAGAGAGATATTTTTTGTAACAGAGGAAGAATTCATCTCATCATTGGCATTGAGTCCACGAAGAAAGGAATACGGG